TTAATTATCATCGACAGAGTTCATTTTTATGGAAGCTCTTGCAGTGCAGACACCTTGGGCTTTGGTGACAGGCCTCTGGTGGCAACTTGCTTCTGCCATAGGCTACATGACTGAGGACAAGCTCCTTGTCTTCTCTGAGTCTCCATTCCTTCTCCTCAGGGGTGCAGGGAGATTCAGGCACAGATGTTCCTGGGGAGTGTGAGCTGCGAGTGTGCCTTAGCTGTGGTGGGGTGGGGGAGGGGGTGTCATGAGGAGGAGAACGGAGAAGCCAGCCTGGCTCTGGTACTTCTCTATCCTGCCATAGTGTGGGTGTCTGAGTCCCCAAGAGGAGGAAGTCCATGAACAGAGCTGGAAGGGCCCCTTCCCAGGCCTGTACTCTGAAAGCCACAGCATGTCACCTGTCCTGGCTTGCCTGGGACTTCCAGAGTCTGGGTAAACTGAGTCACAGCTGGGCACTAGAAGTACACTTTCCTCACTTGTATCCTGAGCCACATCACTTTAGGATCTTGTTTATCATTGGAGCCAGGGCCTGGGGACTGACCTGACCGGCCACCAGCACAGGATAACATGGGTAACATCGCTACCTCTCCTCAGGTACACCTGGAAGAGCCTGGCTGAAGGTCTGCAGGGAGCTGGAGGTGGGATTAGGAGGTGGGAAGAGCCAGCCACACACACAATATGCCCATGTGGGTAAGGCCAGGAGAGACCTGGGATCCACATAGAGGTCGACTTCCTGTGACCTTTGTCACTGTATTTTCCACTTTGTTATTTCTAGTATGCAGTAGCAAGCTGATGCTTTGCTTTGAATCTTTCATCTTAATAACCTCTAAGTTGATTGTCTAGCATCTTGGCCGTAAAGTGATGTCACCTGCTCCTAATGACAAACATTATCTCCTTCGCCCCCACTCCTATTCTAGCATGAAGTCGTGTCTTGTTAGATTTCCTGGGACACCAAAACACTGCGCCATGACAGCAACGACAGTTTGTTAGCTGTGCTTCAGGGAAAGGGTTTCATAACATTGAGACTCTCGAGGTCCCCCATTTGGTATGTTGAGGGCTCCGAGGTGGAAATCAGCAGCCTTCCTTGTGTAAAGAAGCATTCTCCTATCTTTCAAGGTCCTAGTAAGGAAGGGTACTGAGCTTCATTAAACACCGGTGCTGTCAAACAGGGTGAGGTATGGTGTCGGACAGTCGGCGGTAACTATATCGCAGCACTGCGCTGAGAGCAAAACATGTGCTTGGCAGGGAGCCCGTGTCCCATCCCAGGACCATCTTGACATTACTGCTTCCAGTCTTCAGGCTGTGAGACCTGGGCCTCTCCCATGTGTGCCCTCAGCGGTGGCCAGCAGGTCCCAGCCCTCAGGAGCCAAACCGCTTTCTTCTCACAAAGCATTTGGGTGGGACCGAGGCCCCATGGAAGACCAAGAGCTGGAGGACAGGATGTCCTGCCACTAACTACTCAACTGTGTGACCTCAGGGTCTTGCCTGTGTCCTGAGGATCAGCAGCTGCTGAGTGAGGACGCCCCGTAGTCATGTTGTTTCTCCCCTACACACCATTTTACCAGGCACTTTTTTTCCCACGTGTGTGGTTCTGGGTATTGAATGCCAGGCAACTGCTCTACCACTGAGCTACATCCCCAACCTTTATTTTTTAAATTTTGAAAGAATCTTGCTAAGTTGAAGCTCCTGAACTCCAGAGGTGGGGACGTGGGGCACTGCTATCAGGGTCCTTTTCCACCTTTTCCACCGTTCTGACCTCCAGGGGGCGCTGCTCCCTCTTTACAGTTTTGGCCTCAAGGTGATCGCTGCTGGGTTCCTTATCTGAGGCAGAAACATTCAAAAACACTTTATGAAGGTTAGGGAATGTCAAGAGAAATAATGATGAGGAGACTCATGAATCTGGAGAATACGGCCAAGACAGGTCTTGCCTCTGGGGCTGGCTGGTCTCCTTTATCTAAGGGCAGAGAAGGTGGCCAGGGAGTCCCTTTTCCAGTCTCCGTTGCTGCAGGGGTGCTCTCTGATCTCTTGAACTTGAGCGGGAGAAGGGTAAGCCACCTGCAGATGGAGTAATTCCACCTGAAAGAATTACAGTCCAGGATCTTCCCTGTAGCCCTGTAACTTGGTGATAATTGTGCTTGTGTGTATGCATGTGCTCATAACACGCTTACTGTTGAACCAGGACTAGAAGCCTACAATACAAACTGGTAACACTAGTTCCCTCTGCTTCAGGGAAAGGGGAAAGGGGAGAGGGGAGAAGACTCTGCTTTGCACCCTTTATATACCTCTTCTTAGTTTGAATGTCCCAGCACATCTTCGTGTGTCAATTGTAGATCATGTAATTTAAAAGCAATGAAAAAAGTTTTAAATCACATGCAAAATTTTGAAAGTTAGGGTAAAGACTCTGAAGAAGGTGGAAGCAATAGATTTGCAAAAGTTTTGATCTTCAAGGTAACATCATTTCTTCCAGCAGTTTGTAGCAGTCTGGAATCCAGACTGAAGGAGTCACATGGATGGGCCCAGCAGGACAAGGAGCTAAGATGCAGGGCCCGGCACTGACATCAGTTAGCCCATTCAATCACTTAATCCATTTAATCTTAGTGGGTAGATGTGATTAATCTGAGATTGGCCATTGCGAAAAGCAGCTCAGAGAGGTGAAATCAGAAACCTGAGGTCTAGGACAGGGCAATGTGATTATTCAGACCTCAGGATATTATGAGTTATTCTTTTACCACTTGCCTGTAGCCTGGGTCAGTGGAGGACAAGGGGAAGGGAGAGCTGGGTGCAGGTGGCTGACTTCCCCAGGCAGTGTGTGTGTGTGTGTGTGTGAAGCCAGGAGAGGTGAATGGCTTAGGAGGGGCCACCCTGAGTAGAACTATGGGAACCAGGGGTTTGGATCTTAGGTGAACAACACTGTGTGGGATCTGGCATCTTCATGACTTCCATGAATTGGTGAAGGGGCTGTGAGGGTCCAGGAGTCTCCCAAGGATGGATGCCTTGTAGACCGCCCCCCCCCCCACAGTGGTCTGGTTAGCAGGAGGTTGGGCCTGGGGCCCTGATCTCTATTCTTTGCCAGCACCACTGACCTCATGTCTGAGTCCTGAGAACAAGAACTAAAACATACTTGTCTGATCCTCATGGAGGCTGAAACACTCGAGGTGGATCAGTCTTGGCAACCCTGAAATGGGCTGCTGGTAAAGTCGGCACTCTCCAGCAAAATGAGGGTTCATGGGCCCCAGGGCACCTTCTAGTGTTGAGCTTCTTTACCCGGCCAGGGGTCCTGAGGGAAGCTGAGGGGGCACACATGAGGGCGATGCAGGTTACTTGTGTCTGTGCCATCTCCTCTGAAGTTATGGTTGGTCACCAAGGCCTGTGGAGACTGGTTTCAAGGGGGGTCAGATATTCAGGGAACTCCAGGTGCAGTTCATAACCAGAGAAAGCATGGGGTGGGAATGATTGTCAGGTGTTGGAGCTGTGACTTTCTGGGATATCAAAGACTGAGCGTCTAAGAGAGGGGGCTGTGATCCCAGAAGAGGCAGATGACCCCTACTTTCATAGTCTGCTTCTATATCTTTCTTCTTACTTTCTAAGTCACAGGTCCTTGAATTGCAGTGGGAAACCAGTCAACACAACTTTCTGAGAACAGAGAGTAAGAGCAGCTCAGGCTGGCACAAGACAGTGAGATTCGGAGTGTGTGTGTGTGTGTGTTTGTGTGTGTGTGTGTGGCTGTTGAACCCCCCCTATTCCAGCTCCACCACACATCAGCATATAGTTCAAGGGTTTTTGAGGACAGAGTTGCAAGGGGAGGGCTGAGATGTTCAGAGTTGCCAGGCCGCGGAGCCACAAGGTCTGCGTCCAGGAGTCAAGGCCAGACTTTTCAGTGGTGGGGGTGGTGAAAGCGTGTGCTACGGACTTCCACGCTTTGATGGTACCCCAGATTCTCTCCATGAATATCTACAGGGATCCAGATTCTACCTGAAAAAATTACTTTCTGAAATTTCAGATCCTTGTTTCTGTGGTACTTTTTATACGACAGGAAAGCATAAATATTATTGCCGAATGCACTTCAGCTTAGTAAATGTAACGCCAGTAACCAGTGCGGTGGGCACCGCACAGGGTTGTTCTCGGCCTCTTTGCAGGGCGCAGCGGGGACCCAGCCTAGAGTCCCCGCGTCTTGGTCTCTAGGGTCGCTCAGGATCGCACAGAAAAAAGCTTGGACAGAGCGAGTGGACAGAGCGAGACGGGGGGTCTCCGGTCTCCGCATGGGCACCCAATGCAGGGCTCACTTGGGGCTGGGATGGGTACTGCGCGGGGTGAGCTCACTGGCCGGGCCCTGAGCAGGAGTCTCGGGCGTCACGCCCGTCTCGCTGTTGCTCGCAGCCCTTTGGGACCCGCAGCGCAGCACGCAGCACCTCCCGACTTCCACCCTGTGGTGGTGGGGGTCCTCCCACCGGCATCGGACGATACAGACACAGGCTGCAGTAAAGACGCCCAACTCCAGCCCCAAGTCCGCGTCCCGGCGGTCACGCGTGCTGTGCACGCCCCCATTCCGGGCTCAGGGTGGTCGGGCCGCGCATGCCCAATGGGGAGGCGGCGGGCAGCCTCGCACTGACGCCGGCAGCCCCGGGAGTCACCGCGGGGGGCTGGGCGCGGCCGCAAAACCCGGAGCTCGAGGTCAGTCAGAGTGGATGCGCTCCTGCGCCTCGGGACGGCGCGGCCCGCAAGACCCGGCCCGGAGCGCGGAGCCGGAGTGGAGTCGCTCCTGCGCCTCCCGACGGCGCGGCCCGCGGCTGCCCTCTCGGCTGTGGCGCGGCGTCCGCGCTGACGGCGGCGGGTGTCGGCTGCAGCTCGGGCCGGGCGCTTCCTCGCCGTGCGCACGTTCCCAGATCTCCTCCCCCGGCTTCCCCGGAAGCTCGGCGCGGCCGAGGCGGGCAGGCGGGCGGGCAGCAGTGTGAGGAGGCGGCGGCGGCCCGCGCCTCAGGAAGGGCATGTTCGCGTGCGGAGGCGCCCGCCGCCCGCCGCCTCAGCGCCCCCTCCCCACGGCCGCCGCCGCCGCCGCCGCGCCCGCGCCGCGATAAAAGGGCGGCCGCGCTCCCTGCTGCGAGCCCAGGGCGATGACACGGCGGGCGACTCGCTGACCGGATCGTGCCCGCCCGCCAGCGTGTCCGCCATGGGCTGCGCCCCGAGCGCCCGCGTCGGCGAGGGCCCGGCGGGGCTGCGCGGCGGCGGGAAGGAGCCTCAGAACGCGCCGCCGCGAGCGTCCGGCCCAAGGACTAGCGGCGCCCTGGCCCGGCCCGGCGACACGGTTCCTGCAGAGCCCGAGCCTCGCGACGGCGGTGGCACGAAGGTGAGGGGGGCGGGCGGCGGGCTCCCCGGAGTCCCCTCAGCTGGCAGAGCGGTGTCCCTCGGGGACCCCCGCGTCCCTGGCCCGGGTGAACCGGAACGCCGGGCGAGCTGCGGGGTCCGTGCCCGGCAGGCACTGGATCTCTGCGTGGCGCTGGACTTAGTTTTCTCCAACTGCGGGTGTTTAGGTGGGGGACCCCAGGACGCCCGGAGCGCCCCTGAGGCATTAAGTCAGGGTGAACTTGGTTCGTGCAGCTGCAAGATGGAAAGGGGAGATCGGCCCTGTGCGGGTACGCGACCCCCCTTACCCCTAGCGTTTTATTTTTCCTTACTTGCTCAGTTTTGCACTTGCGGTGGCAGGTTCCCATTTTCCTTAGGACTGTTAAAATGTAATCTGGAACAACATCAGTTATGCACCGTTGCACACGTATTGGAAGTTCACGTTTATTAGCATACAGATGATATTTAAAGGCGGTGTAATTACAAAATACTATCCTGATTCGCGATTTTTTTGAAGCATTCAGCAGAACAAAGTTAATCTTTTATTAAGCAGTCTTACTTATTGGGACATTTTGTGACTTTCTTGAAAAATTGGCATATCTTCTCCAGCGCGTAATTGCTTTGACTTATTTTGTCAAATTACATCGTTGCTAAATTCAGCAAAGGGTTTATTTAATTAAATTTTGAAGGAAAGGTAAAAAGGAAACAAAAAACAACAAAATGTATATTAAAGTACATAGCGGCTTTCCAGTTGTGTGATTTGGAATGTTAGAGCCAGAACTCAAGCGTTAGTCTGCCTTAGTAAAGTAGAAAACAAAACTAAAGACTCTTGTGTGCTTGGGTGCAGATAGTTGAATATTATCCTTTATACTACCGTTTTTTAAGAATCTTGGGAAAATTTAAAAAATTTTCTTGTATCCGGAGCGCTGCTAAAGTTCCTAGCTTGCCAGGGTGTAGTTTTATCTAGTCTTAAATTTCTAGCAGTCATCATGATACTTTTCTGTATTAAAGGGACACACGTCTTTTTTTTTCAGTGTTGCACAACTGAAGTGATTTCTCCACCTCTCTCATACTAAGTGAAAATTCAACTTTGCTCTGGTTATCAGAAGGTGCACCCCTGTAGATGGAAGGAAACCTGTGGCAGCTTGGACTATTAAGCCACACTGCTTTCATTGTCTACATTGGGCAGAGAGATAATGTATTTTCTGAGCCCCAGCACAAGATAATGGTCTGCCAATGAAGCACAATGTCTAAAACTGGGACTCTTAAAAACTCAGGTTGCCTGGGTGAATTTTAGGATTTACAGGCAGCCACAAAAAGATCTAGAAAAGCCTCTTCCTAAATCGGCCACTTCAGTAATCTAAAAGTTTAACATTAATATAAAATAACTAATGTTAGATTTGGATCATAAAATCTGAAAGTTGTGATACTTTCCATAATCAACTCTGCCTGTGCAATTCCCAATTCCTAATGTAGTGGCATCCGTATAGTAGTTGCTAAATAAATGCTTATTGAATTTTAAAAATTTTTTAGAATTTGATTCCATAAGGCCTCCAACAGAGATTTTAAGATGTTAATCTTTCTAGAGAAGGAGTCAAAGTATAAATAAGAACCATAGAAATTATAGTCCCTGCCATACTTTTTATTCTGAAATTTGAGAAATATGTTAGACAGAATGAGAAACTTCAAGTAGCCCAGCAAAATCAAATTACTGTACATGGGGTTTCTTTATATTAACATCCCCAAAACCCAACTTTAGTCCATTAAAATTTTTTTCTTCTTAAAATGTAGTAAGTCAGTTTATCTTTGAGTAAATTTCAACAAGAAATTCAGTGGGGGGAAGTTTTCATGTTCCTTATCATAAAGTAAATAATTCCTCAGAATGGCTGGGAATCCATTTTCAGATTAACAGTGTGTGCCCTACACTATAGTGTATCCCGAGTCTGTTCTAGGTAATTTGTGGACTGTGTGTTAATAAGTATTACATAAAAAAGGGTTCCATGGCTTGAACTAAGTTTAGCTGACTTCTTTCATGTAGGATTTGTTAGAGAACTTGATTTTTAAAATATTCTGCAAATCCCCAAGCAGTGTTTATGTAGCATTTTCCAAACTTGTTTGCTTGTAGGACCCTTTACTTGAAGTAAATCTTAGGTAGGCCACATGTTACCTTCTGATTCCTCACATGACTTACCAACATTCAGAGTGTAAGAAATATACTTAACAATAAAACTCAACAGTGTGATTTGCTTCTTAATGATTCCAAAGGTACTTTAGGATTTTGTAGTACATTAGGCTGGGTTGGCTATGTGAACTTAAATTTGAGCATTACTAAAAATACTCTTGGACTGTTTATTTCAGGAGTTATAGGCTATGTGGTTACAGATAATGAATACTGTGTTCAGTTTGAACACTTACAGTTTTGTTTATTTTTAATCAGTGTGAGCTTTAACTGTAACATTTTGATATTTTCTTGTCTGTGATTTACTCCATTTCCCTTTTCCTTAACTAAGACTTGGCTGCCGTGGAAACCTTTGCGTGGAGGGGAAGGTGTGTTCAGGGAACAGGGGGTGTGCTGCTCACAGCTGGTCACACCCTTCCCTCCGCAGCAGTCACGTCTGTGTTGTCCTGAGCTTCTGGCCTGGCGCACAGTAGGTCCTCAGTGCTGCTCAGTGAGAGGATTGTGTAGAGCAGGCTGGAGGGTTCATATAAAGAAATGGAGAAACCAGTTTAAACTAGAGTGAGGCTGTGGAGGTTCTGTTTGGTTTCGTGGAAGTCTCTGGTTATTGCTCTTCCGAACATTGTTGCCAGGGAATGATGTCCTACCATGGTGCGCAGTATGGATTTTCCTGTAGAGATCAGAAGGTTACTGCACTGTAGCAGGTGACTGATAAGGAGAGGCCATGCTCAGCAGAGTCAGCCAGAAGCGCTCACTAGCACCATGGGCCTCTCCAGTGCCTGTGTTTCCTTGGCTTCTTTTATTCTTTTTTAACCCATTTTTATTTTCTACTATTTTCTGCTTCCTTCCCCACCCTCTTCCCAGTCTTCTTGCTGACAGCACCACAGTTCTTCCACAAAACTGGCCATGCTAAGCAGTTCAGTTAATTTAACCAGAGGTTAATGGTTTCTCTGTTTCTAGCCAAAGAATAAAATGTGTTGCCTGATCTCAATGTGCAAGTGGATTAATCACATTTTTTCCTAGTATGCAATTACTGAATGTTTTCCTCTGAAAGTGTAATTGAGAAAAGGAGACCTCACTTTCTGCTCCTATCACAGGTGACTGTAATTTATGTCTGGAGTTGAGGGTGAGAGTTCAGGAGGGTGAATTCACAGTGAGTGTTCTCATTGAATTCTTAGGCCTCTTGGCATAACAAATCTCATTATCTTGCCAGGCTTAGCTGTAAAGATTTTTAAAAACATTTTGTTAAACTCTTTCCTGTTATAAACATAAAATACTTTACATTTGTATCATATGTATTGTAGACATTTATCACAGTTCTGCCAACTCAGACCTGCCCCAGCCAACCTTGACCCTTTCCTTGTTGCAGTGTGTGCCGTGATGGGGCCTGAGGCCCCCTCTGGCACAGATGTTCCCTTTGAAGTGGCTTGTGACACTGGTTTTCTCTGGGATGGCTTGCTGTTTGGGTTGGGTTCTTAAACAGGGGAAGCTTCATGATGTGAGGCCACATGAGGCAGATGTCTCAGAATAACTTAAAATGCCTTAAAGGACCAGACTATTTAAAACAATTTTTAAAAGAACTGAGGGAAAAGTTGATTAGGACATGAGTAAACCCTTAGTCTTGCCCAAGGTCTGTGGCCTCAGCCTGGTTTCTCTGTACAGTCAGACAATGGACTCCAAAGTTCTTAGAGTACAGACCGTTTATGACAATAATACCCACTGTTTCCTGGTGCCCTCTATTGTAAGCAGTTGCTAGATGCCTTACAGGTGTTATTTCATTTAACCATTATAACCCTGTGGAATGATGGGTATCATTTTCCTTTTGCAGATACCACAGAACTTGAGGTGTAAGATCAGTGGTAGAAAATTTGTCTGGCCTGTGCATAGTCCTGGTTTAGATCCCCAGCACTACACAAAAGAAAACATGCTGGTGTATGCCCAGCACTTGGGAGGCTGAGGCAGGAGGACCCCTGTGAGTTTGAGGCCAGCCTGGGTTGCCTAGTGAGTTTAAGGCCAGTCTGGACTACATACTGAGACCCCGATTTAAAATCAAAAAAGAAAACAACAGACGAGGTAGGAGAGGTTAGAGACTCACCTAGGATCATACAGTTAAGCTGGGATGGAACCCATTGTTCCTGACCCTCATCCCTGAACATTTTCCTCTCTGTTGACACATATGTTTGTATCATCTGGCTTTCTGTTAGGCTACATTTGTCTTAATCACTGGAGTTTGAAGCAGGCATCTGAATTTGCATTGCTAGGACTTGTCAAATCTTCCTTTTCTGAGAAAGTTGGTGATAGCACTCTGTGTGATAGGTGATAGGTCTCTTTTCTTGGAAATTGGAACCTTATTCAGCTGGCTCCCGGTGAACTCCTGAAGTTAGCCAGCTGGGGTACCCTCCAGGCGGCCTTTTCTGTCTGATGAGTTGGCAGAGAGTCCCTTGAGAGTCCTTGAGACTCTCCTTTCCTCTTGCTCCTACTCAAGCAACCTGCCCTCCCTAGAAGTGAGTTCTGATGACCTTTGCCTGGAAAGTTGTACCTCTGCCCCCTCTGAGTTGTTGAAAGTGCAACTGAAAGCTTTCAGGTCTCTGAGGTGACTTCTTGTATTGTCCTCTGTGCTCTTGGAACATCCCCTGTATCTTTGTAGGGCTTGGATTTCTATTTTGGGTCTTTTGGGAAGATAGGCTACTTGAGGGCAAAGACTATCCTACTGTCATTTCCATTACAGTTTCCAAGTGTTTGGCATACTCAGTAAATATTTGGGTAAGCACACCAGTCTCTGGCTGAGAGGGCTTTCATTCTTGCCCCTCCCCAGTCTAACTCACCTT